ACGCAATCTGAGCTTCTAGTCTAGTCCACCAGCAAGGCCACATGCTGGCAGCTGCAGCTGCCTGAAATGATTCACAGCAGAACTCCCTCAGTGTGGCTTTGCTTTGCAGGAGGGAAAGCCAGCCCTGTCGTGTCAGATCATTCTCCCACAGAAGCAGCATCGCCCTCATGGGAGCTTGACATGGTCGGCTTACCCCAAACGGCGATTTCGTGAGACTTCCTGAAAAACACCAACGTGACCCGCGAAAGATGCAATTTGTGCTGACTTGGCTACTCAGGCTGAAGCGAAAGAATGATGTCTATGTCATGCCTGGTGCTTAGTGTCAAGGGTCGCTGATGCTGCCCGACAATCAAATCACTGCTTCACAAGCCTGCACATGCAGAGGCTGAAGCCGCAAGATGCTAAGCTCCATTGAAGGATTTCCTGTCAGTATGACCACAGGTCCAGAATACTGCAGCTGATTCGTGGCCGTGTTTCAATTTATTTGACATGATCGCACGAAGCACAGTGCGCGTCAAGCCCAGCGGTGCTGTATCAGTACAGACAAGAGTCAAGACATGTCAAGACTGTCAGCCAAATCGAGGATGGTCTCTTGGGCGCACTGCATCGCCGCGAAGGATATCTGCTTTTGCCGGGAATGGGACGGGGCACAGCAGAAGCTGCGCAGAAGTTGAGGTTTCCCTTGTGTCGTACAGCAGCGCTGTAGGAAGTGATGGCATAGACGAGCAAATATGAAATGAGTCTTAAGCTCTGCCTGCAAGGATAAGTATGTGGCCATCGTCAGCACTGTGGTGGAGACCGCGAGTCTTCCAGACCTGTTTGAGTTTCTTGGGTTCGAGGGTGCCACGAAAACTACAGATTGACAGCTTCACAGAAAAAAAAAATGCACCTGGCAGACCCCGAAAGAGAGATTGAGCCTGCCCTGAAGCTCCTTGGGCCCATCCAGCACAAGCCGTGGCCTGAGTCGGGAAGCTCATCTTCCTTGCATCGACGATGAGCTCACAGAATCTGAGCCGTGTTGCCGTTTGACTAATGGAGCAAATGATTTGGGCCTTCATCATTTATTATACTGGACAGCAAATGGTCTGGGCCTCACTTGTTTTAGATAGTGGTCAGGGAATGGGTTCAGTCGCCATTATTTGATATAGTAATCAACAAATGTTTGGGCCTTCACTACTTACTTGAAAGACTGGATGGGAAAAGCAATGAGCAACAGAGGGTTTGGGCGTCCATTATTTCTTCACGTTCGTCCTGGGTTGGGGTCCCTATCTATGGAAACTACCGTATACCTGGGGACCCTAGAGAGGGTTAGGGGGGTATGTAATATACATGTATAGTAACGGCGTGTACGGGAATATCACAGGGTTTTGGGGCTCAGGGTGTCAGGGGTCCGGCGTGTAGTCTGTAGGGGGTCTTGGCTGTTGGGCGTATGTGATTTAGGGTTCTAGGTACGTGGGTTTAGGTTTAAGGTGTGAAGCTCAGGTTCAGGGTTGGGACATGCAGTGTTTAGGGTTTGGGTTTAGGGTTTAGGTTCGCCGACTCGCAGTGTCTAGAGAGAATCTCAATCTTCGACGGATGGACAGGATAGCGGCAGTCCAGACAGGGTACCACAAATTTCGCTCTGACGCATCGCTTTCACCTTCGGATGGCGCCTCACTGGCTGAGACCCAGAAGTGGCAGTAGCCCGTGGGTGCTTTTAGTGCAGGGCCTTGGCTGTGAGGCTCTTGAGCCGTGATTGCTCGGGTCTCATGAACTGCTTGGAGGTGTTACATGCTACAGCGCTAGCAGCCAGCATCGTACGTTCCGGTGCCAGAACACGTTTCTGCAAGCTCACAACAATCTCACTTGTTTGCTGCTCAGCGCGATCATCCCTTTTTCTGTTTTTGCTTGATCTTGAAAAGCCCCAAGAGACTGCAGCTTGAACAGTTGGGAACAGAAGTAGGATGTTCTCATGCCGCACAAGCAGAGAGGCATGTCCAGCGTCATCCAGCATGGGCTGTGACTTTCTCAGGTTCGTGCAGATCAGCGAGATCCGCGATCCGGTGACAGATGGCGCCGCTGTCCCGTCCTCGGGCTTGTGGCTTAAGTGGCGTATGCGTACCTGGGGCAGACAAGGTCTGGACAGCGTTGAGCTATATGGAATCTATCATGGGGATCGGCCTGCGCTTTTTGCGGGCGGGGGGGGGGAGGAGGTGTTGAACTTCATGTATCCATGCTTAGTTACGGCAGGAGGGACCTACTCATATACTATAATACATTCGCCCATGGGGTGGTTGACTACTTGTCCGCTCACTACGCATGCATGGCCGCAGTAGGAGTTTCATCATGTGCAGGTCATGGTTGCATTACACCTTCCTTCTCCTGGTCACACTGCCTGCTTGTTGTCATGGTGCAGATAACATGATTCCTGGTGGTTGCATTAAGCTTCCCTCCTCCTGTCGTACCCCCACGCCAAAGATCTGGCTTTTGCTGCCTTCGGCTTGCCGCTCAAGTTCGGAGACCCAGCAAACGCGTTTCATGTGCCACCCAGGATGGAGTCTTCGTCACGAGCAGCTACGACCCCTCCTCGCATTTCGAGGACCCGTGGAGCAAAGCAATCGCTTGTAATGCGAGAAATATGAGGCTTGAGGAGGCCCCCTGGCCTCGTCCGTTCCCCAAAGAAATGCATCCAGAGAGGGTGGATAGTGGATAGCATAACGTTGGCAAATTGGGGGGCGCACAGGGAATCATAATCGCACACGAAGGTGAGATGATGTAAGATTCAGATGTTTGCCCTCGGGCAGTTCTCAGTGTCATTGGCTCGAGGGCTTAGAGTCGGGGCCAAGCGTCGATCCGATAATGAAGGAAACGAGCGTTACTAGGACTACTATGACTCTGGCAAAGCCATGGCACTGTCTCTCATTTCGCTGAGGCATCCGTAAGACCGTGCTACTCGAGAATCTGAGCTCTTATTCATGAGGACGCCTCCACTGAAGTGCTCGCCCTGCCAGCAACTCAGTCAGGGTGTTTGTCAGACATCACTGGGAATCGTTTGCTCAAGGTACCTGCAAATCCGGCAAGTGATAGCTACGTGCAACCTCACCAGGTACTTGCACTTTAATTGGTTTGGAAGGGTCTTGCTCTTCTTCTCGCGAGTCCAGAGCTTTGTCACTTTTACGCATTCGATCCCCTTTGCAGCATGGTGCCAGCTATAAGGTGGAGGAAAATCACAGGAGAGAACCTGGACCTCACTGTTCTTCCTGAGGAGGAGGCCATTCCGGTTTAGGTGGCGATTGGCCGGCGGGTGCAGGGTCACTTCGTCGAGGACAAGCATTGAGCAACCTTGTGTCTGTGTCATGAGCAGTCAGGACCAATAGCTCTTCCAGCTTGACCCTCGGCTTACGCATGAATTTCTTTGGCAGCGCCAGGAAATGTTTCAGAAAAGCTCTGGCATTAGGAACGGTATCTGTAGTTGCAAATGCACGCGGCTCCTAGTGTCGAGCTTCTGGCAGCTGAGGTGTTTTCCCGAAAAAGGTCAGTGAGGACAGCGCGAACGGCGCGGCAGCAGCGCTCCAAAGTGTGTTGGGCATTTCAATTTGCGTGGCTTTATGCGTATGTTGTATCTAGGCCAATATTGTGTTTTTTCTAAGTTGTGAGTCCTTGCACCTAGATTCAGCCTGCTTGGTGTAGAATAGGCACGTCCCGCTGACCTGGGGCTGCAGCAGCTGAGAATCTGACATGCTGATGTGCCACATCGTTTAGATCGCAAAGCAGGGCCTCCTTCCACATGTCTTTCATCTCAGCGCAGTATTTGCCACACAACAAAGAGCTCAGCTATCAGACCGGGGGCTCACGAAATCCAAGATTGTATCCTCAGCGAGAGCCCGAAGCTGTTGCCTTTCCAAATTAATTGACTCAACTTGTTGAAGCTGTTGTCTTAGGATGCCATCTGACGTGGATCTCATCTTTAGGCTCGGTGGAAGCAGTCCTCGTACTACCCACCTCAGTGCTCGAGTCTGGCATCGCAATGTCTGACTAAAGGAAGCCTTTGCTTGCACCTCACCCAAACAAAGTTCCTCCTGTCGGCACACCCGGTGAACATCCAAAGTTCTGAAATCTTGAGAGAGTGTGCTGGAGGAACCATAGTAGCAAGGCTTCGGCGGCGCGTCTCTGGCTGGTTCTGCAAATACGGCCTACGTTCGTAGGGTCTTGGTTTGTGTGTAGTTTGAGAGATCCGCCTGTCAGGAAGGCTTGCTAGCATTTGGGTCAGTGCATCACTGCAACTGCAAGTCAACGTGGCAGTTTGACCAATGAGACCTGAGGCCTTTCACGAGGAAGGGCCTGGCATTGCGCAGAAAAACAATCAATCATACAAGCCTGTGGGTGCTTCATGTACAATTTCTGCAAACATCCGGTCAACATCAATGTAGCACACATTTTTTTCAGTATTTTTTTTTCGGTGGAGGTCCTAGAGGAAAGGAAAGGATTGTGTCAATGTCTTCGCAGAATGCTGTCACAATCTTCACCGATTCAAGACCAAGAGTTCTGGATGCTAAAATGAATTCATAATCAAGCCACGCTGCTGTGCAACTCTCGCAATCGTTGCAATAGATTCTCGTAACAGCCTTGGCATGACATGTGGGTATCTAATTATGTTGATGTTTGAAATTGTGTTTGTCTCCAGAAGTGAAAGGGTAAGCTCAGCAGTCGCAAAACGTGTATGGAATTCATGGAGGGTGACCATGCGCGGCTCAAATGCCGGGGCCACCGTATTCAACCCATCATTTGTCTCCAGCAGTGCAGGCTCATGCTTCGAGTACTTGTGGTTCCACCGGGTCCATAGAGCGGGTAACAAGTCTGCAGCCTTAGCTTAAATCACAAGGGAACCGAGGCCTGATGTACAGGGGACTGTAGCGTTCTAACGCGTTCTCAAACTGGGTCTGGGAGTAAGCAAAAGATAGATTCAGCCCCTTAATTAGCACCCTGAGCCTTGCAGCCATGGTGGCGCTGGTCGATCTGGGATGAAGCCCCAAAGTGATGTCGACACGACAAAGCATGTCTATGTGCCAAGCTTAGGGCTGATGCCTTTTTTCTGCGAGAAAGGGAATGTAGCCGGCCCCGGCTTCATTCTTCTCAAGTTGGCCTCATTCTTCTCAAGTTATCGTAGACGACAAGGGCAAGCTCTTCTGTCACATCTGAGACTAGTTCACATGTCATGGGGCTGTCCGAAGCCGCCAGGGTCTGAAAAGCTGTCGGGTTAGAAGGTGTCCGCTGTGCTCTGAGGTTGGCAGGACAAGTCCCTGTCGGCGGCTCATTAATGGTGTCCCTGCCAGTTGGTTGCAGTCATGAATGTAAGGATGGCATTGCCTTACGTGCTTTGCAGTATGTGCTCAAGTGATTCTCAAAAAGTCCAGCTCCAGGTTGTTATGGTCACCAGGATCATTCGTTTACAGAACGCTTTCGCAGCTTGCGAAGTCACAGAGCTTTCAACCCTGTCTTCCTGGGCTTTTGCATCCAGCCGTTGCCCATCAACTCCAGACTCAGACTCAAGTTGGCCCATGAGCCCTCCTTGTCCAAGCAGGTCTGATGCTAGAAGACTTGAGGTTCATTTTCAGTGGGAACGGCATCCAAAAAAATGACCGTCCTTTGGATTTGATTTGGCACGCTGAACCATGCGCCAGGCGCTGCCGTGCCGCAGGTGTTGAATTCAGCAGGAGCCTCAGATCTTCGATAACATGCTAGCAGTGTCTGCGCGCGGGTTCAGGGTTTGAGCTGTTCAAACGTGTAGAAGACCACCTGTTGACAATCTCTTTGCAAGCCGCAGAAAAGATGGCTCCCAATTATGCAGCTCGCCCAAACAGAACTTCCATGGGAAGGGATTTTCATCCAGACCTTTCACATACCATACTCGAGACTTGGTACCTTGCAGGGTTTCTCTTCTTCGACCTGTGCACTAGCGGCCAGCGGCGTCTTGCAGACATGCTGCGCGCAGCGTGCAGACCAAGGTGCATACCACGACATATCGAAGTACAATTACTCCGGCAGGGGGCTTGGTTCAAGATATGACGGTGGTAGTGGTGGTAGTAGTCGTCGTAGTAGTAGTAGTAGTAGTCGTAGTAGTAGTAGTAAGTAGTAAGTAGTAGTAGTAGTAGTAGTAGTAGCAGTAGTAGTAGTAGTAGTAGTAGTACTTGTTGTTGTTGTTGTTGTTGTTGTTGGTTAAGGCCTACACTGCAAACCCGTTGTAATACATAAAAAAGAAGCGGCACGCGCGCTAGCGCGCGCGCACGCTGCCGGCCAACGAACATTTCAGCAAGAAGTGCCGCAACCGGGCTCGAATCATCGTTGTTGTTGTTGTTGTTGCAGTACTAGTAGGAGTCGCCTCTCCGTAAGTGGAGAAGGGTTGTGGCAGGGAGCTCAGTGCTGACACTCAAGCAAATAATGCTTGGGCAGGGGTCAATTCTCTGGTGAAGGTCAAGTACGTAGACTTGAGCGCCTCGTAGATGCTCAGACCGCGCCTTCTACTCAGTGTACGTAACCACGCGACCTTGAAACGTCGTGTGTGTTCTACGTCTAAACATGAGGGATGAAGGTGCATGTAGACCATACGATCTCTCACAAGAGCAGGTTGCTTGGCAAAGCCTGGGCGCCACCCCTGTTCAGGGACACAAGGTGCGGGCTGGATGTTTTTTTGTTTGCGAGTCTCAGATTCTAGGAGTTTACAAGGCTGAAAACTGAGATAAGGAAGACCTGCCTGCTGATTACTAAACATCGGGTTGCAGTCCTTGGAGACCATCCAAGGCCATGATTTTCTGCACCAAGCTGAATGTGTAACTGCAGAGTTTGTGTTTCAAAACTTGAAGATTTCAAATTCCCTGGAATCTCTAACGTCTAGATTTATAACTCCAATTTGAAGGCGCAAGGTGTGCTTGCTGTGTACTACTCCCCGCTACCGTGCAATGTACCTCTGTATTGCATGCTTACACTCTCTCCGCGGTGGGTGTGGCGCTGATCGTTTGCTAAAGCTACTTGTGAAGCCGGAATCCGGTGTTGCCTTGCTTCTGTTTTCGAGGAGGCACATTTGTTGCTGAAGGTGCTGCAATTTACGGAGCCGGTGGTACCTCGGAGCGAGCCGGCGGGATATCGGCCCCAGCCTGAGTGAACTTGGCTTGTTAAAGGTGGACTTCCCTTGTGGCTGGGGGTGGCACTTGCTGGAGCTTTATGTCAGGCGCTGCAGCATCTGACGCTCTTAACCGCTAGCTGCCAGAGTCGGCATGAAGTGAAACAGCAGTGCTTAATCGCCAACTAAGCTCTTTTGGGAAATGTTGGAAGCAACAGCTGTTGCTGTAATTGTGGTGTTTGTCGTTCTGACTGGCATCTTGTGCACTTTGCAGGCCTACTTCGCATCTAGAGGTTTGTGGCTGCAGGCTTTCGAACAACGTCAGGAAGGAACGTTTCTGATGCAGTCCTCACTCACTGACTAGCGCACTGCGCGGGTGCTTCTTTCTTCCCGGCATCAGGGGAGGGTTCCTGGTGTTGCGCTACAAGCCCCAACCAATGGAAACAGAACAAGCCGTGTACACACGCCTGGTACAGGCTGTCAGGCTAGCATTGCTGCCCTAAAGTGCAGCCCAAACCCGTAACCGCTCACCTACTCCCAACCCGTCAAAAGGCGCAGACGATCACAATTTGTGCGAAAGGTGATGCGACACCCAGAAGGAGGGGTTTCACACATACTTGGGTACGTGGAACATTAGGGGTTGCAGCACAGCTGGGCAAAAACGCCTTTTGGATGTTGCAAGAGATCAGCCAGTCCGCACACGCGGCAATACAAGCACCAGCACAGACTCCTACCACACGCAACCAGGAGACAACCTAAAGAGCACTCAGGAGCTTACATGCTGAGAAGACGTCAGGGCGCATCAGCTCCAGCTAACAGTAGAAGTAGCAGTAGCCTACGCAGAGGCCAAAGTTGACCTAACATCCAGAGCTCCATACCTCAACCCTCACCACAAGCAAAAACCTGGTCATCACCTTCCCTCTCGGACCTTGCAGATCCTTTACCTACCTTACGAAGCCCAGCCGCTTCTTCGACCAGGTTCGGAGCACGCGAGTCTCACAGAGGGCACCCCAGAATGATCATGCAAAGTTAGCGCTCTTTAACCAACCAAGCAATGTGGAACGTAGACCTGTACGACTTGTAAGTAAGGCTGAGGCATCTAGTACCAAATTAGACAATGTATAAGAAAACGCAAGGACACCCTCCAACAATCCAGTGGTGAAGCGGCTAGCCCCTACAAAGCACAGACAACCACTGATGTTCGTGGACTTCTGGACAACCGGCGCATGGGGTTAACCCGGGGGCAGGCGATCAGCCTTCCGCAACGCCCGAACATAAGAAATTAAGTCATCATTGGTGGTGGTCTAGTCACCACATATGCTGATCCAATCCGACCAGTGGCAAACTGCGTCAAAGCCTTGACCACAAGTTCCGCAGGGATCAGAGATGTAGACGTAACAGCAGGGTGTTGTCACGGGCCTGAACCTGAACCTAACACGCACTGTGTCCTGGCCTTCCGCCCAGGGAGCTTCCTGCGACTTCAGTGGCTGAGGCTGTATTCACCAGCCAGCATTTCCGGTGCTAAAACTAGAATTCTGAAGGCCCAGAGAATCAATTTTCCACACGCCGGCTACGTTGCTGTTACAAATTGCCATTTGCCCTTTCAAGATTCAATAAGATGTTCACAGCATTCCATGCTCGTCAGGCCTTCCGTATACCCACGCCAACCTTCCAGACGAGACCTCAGGCTCGCAGTGTGAAGGGATGATACCTCCAAAGCTTGACTCTTCTTGTCGACTGTGCGTGCTTCCATGTAATCCTACCCTCTAATACCTGCAACTCATTTTGCAGTCGCCGCAGCCAACTCTGCGACCGCTGGCGCCGGAGTCCCGCAGAATCAATTGTGGATAGTCTCAGCTTGAGTGTGTGGGCCATAGCAATCTGCAGCAGCACTGTAGCATCAAACTCACTCCGGCTGCATACCATTCAAGTTGAAAACCTCTTCAGCGCAGTGCAACTTTAAGCAGCAGAATGCCCAGAGTCATCAAAACAAGCTTGTGGTATAGCCTCTACAATAAGCACAGCGACCCTACATGCTCTTGACAGTCTTTGCAGAAAGGCCAGCGGAGAACGGAGCAAACGGAGCCGATGGAGTGCAGTCCTTGGCTTGTACACTGCTTCAAGTTCGATGCAGCAACGCGTGTGAACTCTGAAGCAAAATCCGACTTGGAGTCCTCTTGGACGAAGGCTCCGCAGGCTGCTGGTGTCGCACGCGATGAGTCCCCAAGGCTGGCCAAGAGAAGCCGAAGGTCGAAGGTGCACTCGAGCAAGAAGGAAATCCAGTTGTTTAGCTCTTTGTCTTGACGTCAATGCAATTGAATTATGTGACCGACTAACCCCGTAACGCGTTGTCGTCGATGGCCGAGATTCAGGTTTCAGATGGTGCGCAAAGGGACCACGCAAACTTCCCCAGCACATCTTGAGTGAAGTCTTGCTGAGCAGGCACACCTACCAGTCGACAAAGGCGCGTTGTCAAGCATGTCGCGGGAGATTTGCAACATCTTGGGATGCTGCGAATCCAGGGCCAAAATCTCCTGTCTGCTGCAGTGTGTTCCTGTACTAGTGGGTCTGCTTCAAGGGCCTGGTTGCCGTGCTCATGCCTAGTAAAATGTGAGGGCACACTGATTCAGCACAATGAGTGCTGGTCCCTTCTCTTCTGCTGCAGCATGACGAGTTGGTGACGTGCGGTGACGCATGCAGATCGCCTGGCGATCTTGCGAATTTTAGTACATTTTGAGGGGTTTCTTAAACCTGAGCAAGCAAGGACTATTCTGATTCGTCCACGCTTCGCTCCATACCATCCATGCCCAAGCCATAATAATGTTTGTGTTCCAAAAGCATGCGATAACGTTCTTTTTTAAAGATTTGCTGCTTTGCAAACCCTGCGGCTTTACCAAGAAAGCTTGAACTTAAATTCCAGTATTGATAGGTCTTGGCAAAGCCTTAGGTCTTCTGTATCCAAGACCTTAGCACGCCCGGCAGCCAATATTGTCGACCAGAAGCTTGTGCAAGCCACATACATGTCGTCCTGGCGCAAGAATCAACCTTTCCGGGGCTTAAAGACTGGTATAAACCTATATAATACCGTAGTTTCCATCTTATTTTCCATTATCCCAGTATAACCCACATACTACGGGTATGTATTAGGTGCGGTCTTAGGCAGGCCATCTTCCTGCATGCCTTGGCCCAGCCCTGCCGCAAGGGGACCTGATTTTATTTCGTACACTGTGAATGAAATTAGTTAGCTGTGCGTCTGTGCGTTGTGGATGCCCTGACGCAGCAGTGCCTTGGAGGAGGCCAAACTTTGAGTACCTTTCGTCCCACGAAAAACGAATTAGCTTACAGGGTCTTGCACTTACCCATTTTGCGGCTGTCATCGTGCTAAGACCTTAGTTTCGTGCACTTTATACACACGTGTGGCCTAGGTAACTTTCTACGGTGATAATAGTCACAGTAGCAAGCGTATCGCAAAACGCCGCATAACAGCGCCACAAGTAAAGTCTGTGGCTGCAGGTAGTTCTCTGTTAGGACCTGAACCTGGTCAGGTGACATTCGTGTATCCTCCAGTCCGCTTGGAGCCAACGACGGCAATGACAGCCCAAACCGGCGGGTGACCGAGTTCTTCGTCCTGCGTCACACTTCGAAGCCGAGCTTCAAAGCGTGACTTTTGGCTGATCCTAAATTTCTTTAGCATTCCCGGTCTCTTGAAGAGAAGCCATCTTTCTGACATTCAACTCGAAGCTCTAGAGTCGTGTCAGCACGGGGAACGACAGCACCATCATGCCGTTCGTATGCGACCAGGAATTTCAGCTTCGCCGCAGCTGCATACTGGAATGGATGGCTCTAAATTTCCTGAATCATCAGGGGGAAGATTTTAGGACACGAAACCCGGTGGTGGAGTTGGAGGTGCAAGTGATGTGCACAAGTAGTGCATAACCAAGCACTGCTGCCACTGCCATAAAGCATAAGGGTCTTGCACAGATCGCCTCGTTTTGGTCCTGTAGCTTGGTTTCAGTGTGCTAAGGAATGAGGTAGAAGGACGAGCTAGAAAGATAATGTTGCGAGACTGCGGCCAAAAGAGTGGCGTGTGTATTCTTCAAGTTGCCCCGACATCCTGACATCTTCAATAGCACCACGTCAAAGGGAATCATTCTGAGGTGGATCAGCTTGTGGGTCCACCACACCTCGGTATCTTGGATTGCCAAGTTGAAGGAATCATTGGTACAGAAAGGTCGACGGTGTGCTGCTAGCTTGCTGCAAGATCTTCATATCTTATGGAAGAGGGACAGGAGGGGCAGGGGGAGTGTTGAATCTGAAAGCATTTCAATTCCGATGCGACACTGTGGGTAGTGTGAAATCTGTGAACGGGGCCTCAGTAGCAAAAGGATGTTCGCGGATCGTGTGCCAACCGCATGTGCAGTGAGCTCCGGATCCATTTGCCAGTTTGGAGCTGGAGTTATGCTTTGAAGGTCTGTACAGCCACAACCCAGGTTGACCCCGCGCTTTGTTTCTGGTGCAGGGTCTGTACCGGTGTCCCGGCCTTGGGAAGCCTTTGCGGGGCCAGTTGAAGGACATTGTACATATCGACTCATTGCACCGAAGCGGCCTTCTACCTGTAGTGCGGTTGTTGCCACCTCGGCGATTGCGCTCGCAATACCTTCGGTCGCACTCCGGTTCAAGTTCCGATGAATCTGAAGTCCAAGAATCCGAGCTCAGAAATGTTTCATTCTGCACCGGTCTGGCAATCTAGGCATCGCATCCCAATGATAAGACCTTTCAGTCTGAAGAACGCCAGGCTAAGACTGCCAATCCAACATCGCAGCTACCCGAACGAAGAAACCTTCGAGAGGCAAAGCATGCATTGCAAAAGAGTCTGCCATTGAACTGATCTCAGCGGCTGAGGCCTCCTTTGGCAGCAACAATCCTGACACCGCCGGTTCCCAGCGCTCCAAGCAATGTTAAGGCTGAGAAGAGGGCCATTTTTCTCATGTGATCTAAAGTCGAGTCCACATCAATTTTCTGTAGCAAGTCTACAAAAAAGACGAGGAAAGTGGAGTGCAAAAGCTCGCATGACAGATGAATTGGTGTTCCGCAGGCTGCGCAAGCCGCGACAGCCCCAGGCGGGGTTGTGGCGCGTTTTGTTGGAAGTTCCGCGTGTAGCGTGTCTTCTGTGAGCCGCGCCAATTTTCTGTGAGGATCTCTCTCAATGAGAATCACCTACAGACTTCTTACATCAAATCCTTACACTTCAGTTCGTTTAATTTCCACATGGCCTTCTCAGATTGTTTGAGGAGGGTTCGCACTCTTTGATCAAGGGCCAAGGGCCCCCTAACCTAACTAGGATGGTCGTTCCGGGATTTGTCCCAAGTGTACCGTTTGTCTTGCGTGCGCAGTCTTGCACGCCTTGCAAGATCGTGCAAGTGTTGGCTTTCAAGAGTTTTGTAGAAGGTCAATAAAGATAAGCAACAACAAAACGTCCCGCTTCCCTTTTGTGCCTTTGCAGCTCCGCCTGCTCCGCCCTGTGTGGTGGCAGTCACAACAAGGCTCGTTTCAGGGGCAGGGGAAAAGAAGTTGTGAGATCCTGTGTGTTGGGACAGTTGCTGACTACAATTGCTGTTTTTGTTGTTCTGGTAGCACAGTCTGTATGCAATTCAGAACCAGGGGATACTGAAGATTGCAATGGCTGTGCGGGCTGAGGGCTGCCAGACACCCCGTTGCTTCCAATACGTCATCACGCAAAAGAGGGTTTGACTGGAAGGCTGCCTGAAGGTTTCAGGTCACTTACTTCTGCATCTGGAACAGGGTTTGGGTCCACAGGCTTACACCGAGATCACCAGTCACGCTGCCGGCGCTTGTCTCAGATTTCACAAAGCACGAAGCCAATGAACCTGGAAAGGATCCACGTGGGGTTTGAGGAATGACTGAAGCGGGTTGTTGGTCCAGGTAACGACGCTCTGAGCCCAACCCTGTTCTCACAACTTGCCCGAAAGGCTCTGTTTTCAGCTGTTGCGAAAGAAGAAAATAGAAGCATACCATGTTTGGATCTCACATCATATTGAAAGAATTCAAGAATCTTGGCATGATAGTGGTGAAATGATTTTTGTTTCCTGAAGCCAAGTTGTTTGCACGACATCGTGTAAGGACTTGCTTCCACATACCCATGTTTTGGAAAGCTGAAGGCACCAAGCCGGCTGCCACTTGGACCTGAGGCCAAGCTGGTCTCCATCAGCCGAAGCCCCGCGCCTTGCGTTCTGCGATCTGATGCTCGGCGAGCTGAGGCCATCGGTGCAAGTGCTTTCGGAGTTGGTCTGCATGCGCCTCATGGCCTTTGCAAAGATTTGCAAAGCAAAAGGTTACCATGTTCACAAGCCCAAACACATATCGCTGGTGTGTGCTTACCTATCTCCAGCTGTTTTCAGCTGGCTAGCGTGACCTGAGTGCAAACTGTATGTACGGGCTCTCACTATGTCTGCCCGTTGGGCTCAAGCAGCAAAGCTGGTCAGTGCTGCTTCTTCCCCTGGAGCAGAAATGAGCACAGCACCTTGGGGTACTAAGAATCCTCGGGTGAATTCAAACGCAGCGTCTGCATGAACATGATGAACATGCCGTTTCTTACATCAGACACAGGGAGCCTTGGAGCCCCAAGTGCCTCATTTGCCAATGGCCCATGCGCTGTGGAGAAGAATCGATGCTACTTGGATGAACCATGATATGCGAAGATTGTGGGCGAAGGAGTTGGGTTCAGCCTGGTTCGGCTGCGTATTCAGCAGCTCATGCGCCAAGTAAGGTACGGGAAAGTGTCTGGGCGCTAAATAAGCCAGTTCTGTCCCTACGTGGAGTGAGGTAAGAGGTGTGGCGGCTGTAGGTTCTTCTCTGCAGCTAGGATCGCAGTCATTCAAATCATGCGCCTCAGCTCAAGGCATCAAACAAAGCAGAGGCTAGCATTGCCTCGCAGATAAGTTATCTTAGCTCATGTGCCGCTGAGGTAAGGCAGCTGGAGCTGGGACTACCCGCATCGCTTCCACAGCCCTGGCGTCTCCTGTCGGGACGGGAGGGTACCGCCAGCTCACTTGTTCGATTTACAGTATTGGTTGGTAAACAACGTTCAACTGAGAACATGAGATTGACAGTCCTGATGGCAAGGTGCTGTTGTCTCGAAAATATGACGAAGTAGCATCTATTTGCCTCATAAGTCATAAGCATTGCGCGTATTCTGGAAACCTCGTCAGATCATTGCAAGCCAGGATTCAGACGGCAATCCAGTCCTAGTCTGAGCCTGAGGAGATGCGGCCGCTCATCCCAACCAGTCGGAGTGGGACGGAGATCCTGCTGAAGCCGCTTGCCTTGGGGATGCTGCCTTTGCCTTCTGTGTCGTCTGTGAGCTGTTTGACGTTCTGTGTCCAGACTGGCTTAATGGTTTTTCCTGTGGGATCCCTTGACAAGTCTTTGTGGTTGCCGCCCGTGACTTCAGCGAGTGGGAGCTTTTGAAGCAGAGGCGTACCTAAGCCCGCAGGCAAAGCTTGAACCTTTCATGTTGCATAGAAAAGGTGGGTAATCAGGGTAAGAGTTGGCCAATCTACGGGACCAAGTGTCAGCGCCCTCTAGGCATGGCAAACAGCTACCACCAGTAAAGGTGTATGATTTGTCGGCCTTCATCACTTGCGTTCGCGTGACACCAGCCGCTTCTTTTCCATTAGAATGCAGCATGTGCACAGCCGGACTCACATTTATACAAGGAAGCAAACACGCTGGGAGAGGCAGTTTCTTGTTACCATTTGCTTTTGTTGTTGGTTGGCCAAGGCATATGAAGTCGCCTGTATGGAGCTTGCTGCGTTTCTCGCGTGGCTAATCGCGCAGGCACGCTGCTGGCAGAGTCTGAAAACCTGCGTTCCAAGAGTTCCCGCTTTCATCAGCAGTTGCAGCATTCAAGCGCGCAGCCCCTGCAAATCCTTCCCGACCTCATGCCAAAAGAATCAGCATGACGGCCTTCAAGCTATCTGTGACGGTCTCTATTGCTGATACAGCTATTTCTAGACCGGGCATGACCGGGCTTGAGAGGTTCTAAGCCAATGTGAGCACATTTTGCAACAAGCATTCGTGTCGTCAAGAGCATGTACGAGTCATGGTCTTTTTTAGCTACCTCCTTGCGAAGTGACCCTTCCTGCAGGCCCGTGCGCGCAGTGCCGCAGAAGTTCTACTGGATCTTCATAGCAGGTGCTTCGAAGTGAAGTCTTGCAGTTCAGCTGTTGAGCTCAGGGCTTTTTCTGATAAAGAAGTCAAGCCTGGTGAAAGGTTGCAATATGCCAAGCGTGTTGAATCTCTTTCTTTGCGCGGCTCTGGCAGGCCTGGCTTGCTGGCCGAGGTGCGGACACTCCATCGTTTGTCGCTGCATGAAGGGGCGTGTGTCTTCTCTTGAGTTGCAGCGCATGCCTCAATTGAAGAATCGCCGTGCCAAAGAAGAACAGGGAAAAGAGAGAAAACTACATGTATCAGCGCGGCAGCAGCATCGAACGTGTCGAATAAAGTGACTATCTACCAGCATCGGGGAGGTGGTGGTAGAGGGCCTGTCTTAGACCTGGGTAGTGAGGAACGACCAAGTAACAAACAGCTTACATCCTCACATCATACCGTCCTTGCGTTGATGGATTGCTCCAGTGTTCTGGCTGTATACCTAGGCTAAGGCACACAGCCCCAAGTGCCAGGTGGAGAGCTCCTGGATCAGAGTTCCCGAAGACACCAAGATGGATGCCCAGCAGCCTTTGGAAAGCCTTTGCTTGACGTGTGCGTGGCAATGCTGTTCTTGTGCAATTTCGGATGTCTGGAGTAGGGCTCTATTGGATTTTAATGGTGGAAGATATGCTTTTCCAGCATTGACGTACCTGCGCTCTAATGAGCAAGGGCGAGGCCTGCAAGCAACCTTGGTCTTGAATTGCTGTGCGAGGTGTAAATCTTACAGGTATAACAAACACAGGGTTTATTTGAGTGCTTAGAGTCTCATCTTAACGACTGCATTGTCGACTTTTCACATGAGCGACTCACAAGCTCAAGCTGATTTGTTGCTCGTCGTAGTTGACTGCAGGAATGGATACCTTCCGAACCTTGGTCGCACATTGCAGAGCCTCCTGGGTAATCGTGAGACCATAAGGGGGAAGATAGAGTAATTCCAGCTAAGTGCGCATTTTGCCTAGCACTGCTGCAATGCGCTTCTGAGGAAATGGCTTCCCACAGATTGACACAGGTCAACCCCCCTCCTGGAATACCCCAGATCCACAGTGATATGATTGGGAGACACCTGTTGTTAGCCTGCCCAAGCCTGAGAGCTATGACCCTACACTATCCACTATCCGACAAAGGATCACAATACTTTCCTGGCCGATGTGCTGGGTCATGCAAGTTTGGCGAAGGCTCGCAATCCTTGCCAGGAGGTTATATGCTGTGCTAGAAAGATTGCATGCATGGAAGCTCACACGCTGTTGCTCCAGCCGACCCTAGCTACTTCACAACGGTTGATGCCCTAAAGCGAGGACGCTTCCTGGAGCTGGATGCCCACCAGCAGGCTGCGGCGGAAAACTCGGGAGGACGGCGTGCGAGGTGGAAGGGGTTGTTGATCGCTGATGTTTACAAGCTGCATGTGTCCTCGCAACTCAAGTCCTGCTGTCCAGTTTCGACACCCAATGATGGCCCCGTGCCTGTGCTGGCGATCATCGACAGCCGGGTGAATGGAGCTTCTTGGTTCGCATCATCTTGCCAACGTGCTTTGATAGGTTGTCAGCCCTTCAAGAATTGAAATGTGACACCTTGACCAGGGCCTGACTTTCAGGACGTGTGCTTGTCGTATGGCTTCCGTGATCATTGCCCCTTGGGAGCTTCTGAGGTTCCCAAGCGCCTTGCACATCAGAAGAGGAAGAGCGAAGGCACCGTCGTGGCTTGGCTCTGCTGGACTGCCAGATGCGTCGGGTTCACAGTAGTTACAATAGGCTTTTTCTGCATATCTCAAGCTGGAGCGCCTGGCGACTGCTTGGTACACTTGACTAGTGTACCTAATGTAAGCATTCAACAAGGAGATTCGAGTCCAACTGAGCTTAGGACATCCCGAAACCACAGCGGGGCGCCATGGAATTCACGCGGGTGAAGCCGCGGTAGCGCACTGATCTGATTCCCTTGGCATGCCACGGGCCGACCGAGGGAGACCAAGGTAGCTCCTAATGGCAGTGCTCAGGAAGTGGTTTAGGGATTGCACAAGATGAAACCTTGTATCTCCTGTGGGTCAGTCAAGCAATGCGCAAGTGTGACAGCAGTTGGAGGCCGGCAACTACATACTTAAGGAACCTGTGTTTCCCGCAAATTCTGTTCACATGTCAACACCTAGCTCGATTCAAAGTTGATATCAAGCCGCCAGCTGTAGCGACCTGGGGTTGCCTTGCTAAGTTTAGTGCGGCTCACACCTCGCGAGAGCACCTTGCGGAGGAATGGCAGGCCTCCCAAATATTCACACAATGACGGGTTGTCGTCTGTGTGCGTGCGCAAGCCTTGGACCAACACGATAGAGACTGGATGAAGAGGTTAAGACAAGAGTCAGCGCTCTGACCCAACGGTTCTGTTGCCACTTCCCAAAAAATCATTTGGAATCGACTCGAAGGCTAGACTACAACACAGAAAAAAGAAAGTTGGGATGCAAAGCGTCCCACAAAGCATTTGCAGATTTAGTGCAGCCTTCCAGTCCTGTGCAATAGTGCGGGCTGAACGAGATTGAGCTTGTTTGCATTTAGTCAGTATTTAGTCAAGAGTCAAGAGGGAAGTCCCCACTGCATTGCCAGTTCTCAGACTGCATGCTTAGTTGTTTCAGGCATGCCTACGATGTGAGGCTTCTTAGGTCTGGATTCCTGCATGTAGGCACGAGTTCCATGTACCGCTGGATGGCTGTTTGCACCTTCAGATGCAACTGTTCATCACATTTCAGTTTAGCCACGGTAAATCCAAGAATCGTGCATAAAGACGTATGGAGCAAGGAGTCTGGTTGCAGGCACAATCTGGAGGTGAACAATTCTCAGAGAGAGGGGCTTTCTGCACTGGCCGGGCCGGGCTTTGGCGGCCTTCAGTGCGTGACCGCGGCGGCGCAAAGGTTCAAAAAAGCGCTGGTTTTGAGCATCCGGCTTTGTTTCCATCTTGGCTCCCCCGCTAGTCTCCGACGTCTTCCTGAATGTATCCTGGTCTACAGGTGACACTGGATAGCCCCAGACCACCATCGCCGCGGGTACCTGGCTTAGATGGGGCCGAACCTCAGTCTCCTGGTCTGAGTTCCGAATGCTGGGACGGAGCACTTTGCTGTTCAGACTCAACTAGGACGGACTAGGACAGATTCCGTTTGCGTCCGGTCTGCGCACTTCCTGTCTTGATAATCAGCAGGTTTCATAGTCTCTTGTTCGCGGTGGAAGTTTTCGCGTGGGTGAGTTATGGGTGTCTTCTACTCCCATGCACAGAGACCCTACCTGACAGTCCGTGTTTAATGTAGCGGGTAGACAACTAAAACTGTTCAGCAAGTGAAAGCGGGGACAGTTTGGTGCTGTCTTGACCAATAGTATTATTGTGTTCATGGACATGCGTGGCAGACCTTGCTCAATTCAGATTGATGGTGCAAACTGGGTTTTATGAATCGGATAAGTGAGCATGCTCCCGCGTGCAAAAAATGGGGATCCTTATCCGGCATAGTCAACAACTCTTCAACAACTTAGTGCAGTCAAGTGTGGAAGTACAAGGTAATGCTTGTGTTAATGCTCGAGGGTAGTACATTACTCGAAGACTCAAAGTCTCGCTTGCTAGCACCTTGACTTGACTTTCCTTACGTAGCCTTGTCATCTCACGCATTGCGATCAAGGTGGTCCGGACAAGAGTGACTCGGCAATATTGAGTGAGCGCGCAATAAGCATGATGCGAGGAACTTATCCGGCTAGGGCGGAGCAGCCCGTTTTAGTTGTGCAACGGCTTGGACTGAGAGTTGAGAAGCAGTGAGAAGTTGTGTAACACAGCATGTGGAGAGATTTGAGCAAGACTTCTGCCGCATCAATCCCTGTCCACAGCAGTCAGCAGCCTGAAGACTGCAGGTGACATTGGACAGCCCCAGGCCACCCTCGCCACGGGTGCTCCTCTCAGATGTCTGATAACGTAACTATGCTTCGAGAGTTTCTTGCTGCAGGCTTACGAATTTGGATTTGTGCCTGCAGGGCCCTGCCCAGCATACCGTGTGCACGAATGCACGCAATGCTTCTGCAAGCTTTCGTCGTCATTCCAAATGCTGTCAAAGTCTTTGATGCGGACATGTTTAAGCAAAGTCATCACAAAATGCATATCCGGGGCTCCTATCACGTGCGTGCTGCCTGACAACCTCCCTTTCCCAGCATCACATAGTTGATCCTCGTTGCAGAAACGAGGTACGGACGAGAGTGACTTGGCAAAGAGCATGCAGAGGGCCTTGTGTACAGCCCCGGTATAGCTTAGCATTCGAGGCAGGTCTGGATTTTTCTTGGTGAGATCATTGCAGATTTGAAGGGGTTCAATACACAGATTTTGGCTGGGCACGGCCACGTAGGCAGGTCTGGACGGATGCAGTTGAGCCAAAGTGTCGCTGTGTATGCAACAGTGACTTGCTACGCGCTTCGCTGCCTGACGTCTGCAGACTGGAGTCTGGACAAGGGTAGTAGAACCAACAGAGGTCTCCTCACCTCACTCCGTCACCACACGTCGCGACTCGTCACCCTTGGCGGCACGGACTTCGGCGCTGGAGGAGTCAGGGCACTCAGCTTCCATGCGTGCAGGGCGGGAAGGTACATGCCCCTCTCCACGCGTTTAAGCTGGTACAGGGGTTGTACCTGTCGCCAAAAGAGAGCGTGCCGGCTGGGCTTGGGGTTCTCTGGACTTCAGCGTCACCAGCTCAAGTCAAGAGTTCACCCATCTCTGTAACCACTGTCTCTTTGACCCCGCGCAGACACATAAGTGCCCCTTTTTTCAAGGCGCCTGAAGGAGTTGGAGCGACGACTGGACGCCAAGGAGACGGAGTGCCTGGGCAGGAAATGATTTTCAGCCGATTTCAGCCGCATAGTGCGCAGTGCATCGTTTTGAGAAACAGCTTGCTTTCATTTATGATCAATTTTGATCCGATGGCTGGCAATACTGGCTCGAGAGTGTTTGTGCAGGTGCAAGATGCTGGAGCATCACTTGACGGAGGTTGGAGCAACGGTAGAGCAACGTGCGTGCAGTAGAGCCAACGCCTGCCCCAAGCACTTGACGTCGTCCAGCCTTTGCATTCTGGCAGGTGCGGGGATGTTTGGAGGAGCAGCGAGAGCGTCCGAGGCCCAGGACATGACTGGACATCTTCTGAGCGTCTCAGGCCGGTCTGGCGTAGTGCAGTCATGTCCAAGCAGTTTCCCATTAGGGAGATGCTCTTTCTAGTCAAGATTTCGTTGTGTTGCTATCTCATTGCTCAATTAGTGTGGAGATTCTTGTGGATTTGACTGGCCCGATGGGTTTTCAAGGCGGAGCTCGGGATCTGGAGCAGCGAGATCTCCACATCCAGGACTGGTGACCAGCGGCTTTCTCCAAGTTACGATTGAACCTGGTCAAATGATCCAGCTTGCTCGTTGACACCCGGGATTCGGGATGCAAATGTTGAGTTTGGCGTGGGGTCCAATGCGTTGATATGTTTTGATCTGCGAGATGCAGCAGCCAACAAAGGAGCTCAGCCGTCGCAACAACGATCTCATCAGGGAAGCACAAGGCATGTACCAGGCGTTGAATCTGCTGGGTGCATCATCGCGTCAGAATTTGTGCAAACATTTTTATAGATTCCTAGCTTTGATGTGAAGACACTCCGAATGATAATCGCTCAGCAAGAAGCACCAAGTTCTGCTGGCAGAAGTGCGAGAGTCGAATGAGTCGTCGAATCCAGCGTGGCATTAACCGTACAGCCAGGTGGTCCAATCTACCGTGGACGATCCAGCGATGGATGAAGAGACCGCTCCCAAGGACATCAATTTACATGATGAGGCGCCTTCAGTTACTCCAGACTCCTTTTTGCATTCGCTTGTGTTTAGTCACTTTCTGAGCTACCAATCCAGCAACTGCCAGTGCCACGGTCGCAGCAGTATAAACAGGCTAAGCAAGAAGCAAAGGAAGATGGTGAACAAAGGTGGCAGCAGCAGCCAAATGCTGTCGCCACGAGAGCAACAATTGCTAGTTCCTACAACTACGTACTAGAATGGTGATAGTACAATTGTGACGACCATGGTGTTGCCACCACCATGGGTCTGCTGTTGCTACCCTACCACAACCTTAGCGCAATCAATTTAGAGCCAAGCCGCACCCTGGCTGCAGGAGTCAGAAGTCCCAGCAGCTGGAGGCAGGCCGACAGCTTTTGGCTGAAGATGCCGCGGCTCATGCTGAAGTCTTTCTTGGTGCAGCACTGGCCCTTCGTTCAAGCGATGGCTGCTAACCCCATCGTGGTTAAGCTTTTGGACGGCGGGTCCAGGGCGCAGTCAGTGTACCTGCGGCCTGGGGGACTTACAGCATGTGGAACTGTGTGACCAGGTGGCTCCTCGCGCCAGCGTGCAGGCTCCTGCCAAAAGCGCAAACCGATGTGAAGCCAACCTCAATGCTTGCAATACCTGCAACGCAATAGATTTCACCTTTATCAACCAATCCTGCTCTTCACAGGACGGCCGGGCTCGGAGGCATGGGCCTGGTCATGTATTTGCTGTCCGGTGTAGCCCAAGCTCTGACAATGAAGGGCGAGCAGGGGTGCCGCGGTGGGGGCATTGGGCATGGTGCACGATTTTCAACCAAGGTTGCCAAGTGTTTGCAAGAGCTGATAAAGCCCAACAATACTCAGCGGCGTAGTAGTGCATGTCTGCCCATGCTTGCAATGCAGGATGTCGCAAGTGTCTGCTGCATTGCCAATTTTGCAATTTCGGGGCTACTCGTTAAAAGGTGTGTCTCGACGGCTGGACTCAGCTTACTTGCAGGCCTCGCAGCTGGAGCGGGACTTGTCGCAGCCTTAGCGTAGCAGCACCTGGGCTGGCTACAGGAGCGGGTTGGACTGGGAGACTTGGTAAAATGCCAGGTGAGAGATTTTGAACTTGGGAGTGGACAATGCGCCATAGTGGCGGTCATTCATTGTATGAGGAGTCCACACGTTTGCCTCGTGGCCAGCTTGAAAGCCGAGGCCAACTCTTGCCGCATTGAGGCAGAGGCTATACCCCAAGTCCGCCGCTCAACGATGCAGCACCGGGGAAGCCGTGTTTGTATGTATCGGAGGCAACTGCTACTTTGAGCCCCCAATCGCAATAGCCGAATGGGGTCATATGTGAGCAAGCAGACTCATGACTTGTCGCTCAGCGATTTGTGCAGCGTAGACGCATTCTCCGAGAACACCTTGGGATGGCTTTGTTTGCTTGCAACATCTTGCAACCGTGAAGTAGCTAAGATATGTCAAAGTCTTCTGCTGCAGATCCTTGCTCACGTTTCGTTGCGGTGCCTGCTTTCTGCTTCTCGGCTTTGGGCTTTGATTGGGATCAGGCGGAGTGCGCAGACGCAACAGGACTGATTCAATGTTGTTGATGTCGGGATTCCTACCAAGCCTGGAGACAAGCAAAGGATGGCAGAGAACCTCAGGCCCGTCTTGAAACGAGACAACTTTTCAGACATGGCAGGCTGCAGGGATAAAGACGACCGTCCTACTCTGCATCTGTGTGGGCCAACTCAGAGCATCCAGCAATGTCTAGCACAGGTTTGCGCAGTCCGGTAGTCCGGTGCGGGGGGGGGGCCCTCCTTCGCGTCTGCTCCTTGAAGGAGTCGGCGGCCGATGCTGCCAGCCTCGAGCGAAGTTCCGAGAGGACGGTCAAAACGACCAGCTTCCAAGCCGGACACACAGCGCCAAACGCAGCACGGCAGCGCGCCCTCGAGAGGTCGGCCCGGCCGACGCCGCGGCCCAGCACCGGCCGAGGGCGACAGCGAGAAGAGCCTCGAGCCTCAGAACCTCAGGTGCTGAAAACCATTTTAGCTGCCTGGAAGTGACTGTCAGCAAGTCTGCGGAATTCCGGTAATGCAGAATTCAAGATGGGCTTGGGGCTTCCTCTACCCATCCAATTTTGACTGCTTCCGTTTATCTTCTTGCTGCAGTGTGCTGAGTTCTCTGAGTGTTGGGGTGCAAGCTATGTCTCGGCTGAGGTTGGGATCTGAAAAGCCCCGAGGTGCCTCAGGCAAGAAGAACGCCAGCAGAGTTCTGTCATGTTAGCACGAAGCAAAGACTCAGGATTGCAGATGCCATGTAGATTGCCATGAGTCATACAGCCGTGGCCTTTGCTGTGCTTGCGTCAGATCAACAGACTCCGAAACGGCGCATGACCTGACCGGAGAAATATCTGAGCCAGAAGTCTAACTCAACCTCGGGACCTCGCAGCGCATGGTAGTTTGCATCCCAGTTCGACCGCTAATTGTATGTGGGCAGGCAAGCGCAGTGCCAAATTCATATTTGACACCTGTTGCCCAGCCTGCCTAGCCATATCAGAACACACAACTAATTGGAGTGCTTTCAGTGAAGACTGGCCATGCGCTCTGCCGAATTACGAAATCAGGACCCACATGCAAATGTAAAATTGATGAGTGCAGCCTTCTTGTTTGCCAGACACGTCATGGTGGCACTTTAGGGCATGCTGTACCTTCAGGCCCTTCAGGTCAGAGGTGTCCAGATAGGCGAGACTCGTCGTGCTGAAGGTCGCCCGCTCCCTGTGTTGGCTCCAGCGGGCAGTTTGTAGCTCGCCGCCTCCTTCGATAGCGAACCCCTCCTGTCTTCCGAGGTGGAGGGTTTCCTGCGAATCTTCTGTCTCTTTAGGCCTTGGGTTTGGGCGGAGATGATGATAACCATGCATGTTTGAACCAAGCATACACAGCAGTTGCAGGGTTGAGAAGATGAGAGCTCTGCAGCAGGCACCTGTCGATTGACAGTTTCCATGGCGCCGATTTGAGCTGCTCCGCCGCCTGCTCATGGAAAACAGTTACACACTTGTTTAACTGGGTTGTTAGGGCGGCAACTGTTTTATCGCGTTGACCAGCAGAATGAAGCCTCGTTGATTGCGGTGTCGAAGTCTGTAGGCGGGAAAAGCCCCTTTGCTGAGGCAGGAGAACTCCACCTGCTTCGCAGACTGTTGACAACATGAATATCAAGCCTGGAGTAGCGGCCGTTTTGCTGCTTGACCCTCAGTTGCCCACACAATGAGCATCTATATGTCTATCTGGATTACTTTCCGAGTTGTTGCAATTCACGCAGTTTTTTGCATTGGATGTCATGACAGTCCTCCGCGAACCGATCTGGTCCCTCCTGCCTGAGCCGCACAGATTTTTTCTGTCATGAGGACACAAGCAATTGGCGCAGTCGGGAACATGGTGATGTTCCCAGAGAGACTCGAGCTGGCAATGGGGCAGAGTGGCTGAATCCTCGTATGCCTTCATCGCCAGCTTCTTATGTTCACCATTCACAGCCGGCGACATACCTTTCATTGCTGAAACTGGCAGGGTACCAGACATCGTTAGGACAGTAATCAGTAATCGTCACAGCAGTTTCGCAAGCTTCTGTTGAAGCATGAGGGTGGTGGACAACGTTGTGCTTTGAGGCGGTGACGCCTGTATTGCCCTTCTTCGCACCAGACTCAGTCTGTCTGCTTCGCTACCAACAGACGGGCTTCCTCTTAGAGCCACACAGGCCGTGCAGACCCTGGGCGCATCAGCCCTTGAGGCTGGTCTTAGCTCCTGAATGGAGTTTGCAGGTCTTCAGGGCTGAATGTTGAGCTGGCTAGCTCTTGGGTGCAGGAGAATCCTGACTGCTCAGCAGCTGTTTCCAGCAACCCGTGTTTCAGTTGGAAGTAACACGATCGGCAGAACTTGTGTGTTTCCAATTCATAGACATGTCACGGTCGCCCTTCAAGACCAGCGTTACGTGATGTCTTGTGCCAGCGCAACTCTCTGCTGACTCTTTTTCTTGGGAGGCCCCTAGCAAGTTCTTGCTATGCATGTATTGAATTTGGCAGGC